AGTTATTTCAAAATAAATGCTTTTCGAATATAATCTTTTCAAATAGATAACCTTCGCATATAGTCACCCTGTGACACCTCATCTCATAATCATATGATACGGGTCTCAATACCTGAACCCTAACACTTGGCATCCTGTGCCCTCATCACACCTCCTGATCATACTGACAACTCACGTGCCCCAAAAGAGTCATTCTCACATGGAAGGCAAATAACAAAGGTGTACGTCTATACTCAGAAATCTCAAAGAGCCTCCTACCCGATAAGGGTGATTAACCACATGTATGCTTGTGCAAGTGTCCTAACATAGTTCGTACAAACTAGTAAGTATAAGGAATAGAACGGACAACACCTATAATATTTACACAGGGATAGGATCAATGAAAACGTCAGCTCAGAACGCAATATTTTTAACAGGGGATCTCCCAGGATATCGTCCCGTAGTCCCAAACGTAAATGTGCAAAGGATCTCCCGAGATATCTTCCCGTAGTCCCAAAGTAAATATCCAGTACAGGGGAATCTCCCGGGTGCAGTCCCGTAGTCCCAAAAGTAAACGTGCAGGGGGATCTCCCAGAATATCGATCCGTAGTCCCGAAGTAAACATGCAGGGGGGATCTCCCGGGATATCGTCCCGTAGTCCCAAAGTAAATATGCAGCGCAACCAACAGAACAACAGTCACAATACAACAGAAAGCTCGTACATCACCACGATACATATAGCAACAATAATGATAATACAAGGTAAGACAAGTAAATCAACTTAAGGACTGTAAATCACAAGGAAGCAGTAGAACTAGCTCACGAGGAATAATCACAGAAAAGAATGCTGGCATAAAGGGAATAGTTCAACACGGGAAAACTAACATATAACGACGATCCCACAATATACAAGTCAATAACAAGGAAATCAACGCGAGTCAAGTAGTCCCAAATAAGGGAAAGTCATCAAAGATATAGGTTATCTAACTCCTTTTAAGGTTGGACAATTTTCGAGGATATTCAACAATTCAATTAAGGAAAGATGACCTTTAGCTTCACTTAAGACTAAGCAAAATTTCAGAAAGGATAATAATGATTCTCAAATAAGACAAACAACTATGAAAAGATAGCATGACAATAGGAGAGGCGAAATTCATCAATTAAATCAAATAGGAGTCAGTTAAGCAATAAGAGTGTATCATGAAGTAATTATTTCCAATTAAGCATGTAGATGTGAAACTAGTAAATAGGAAACTCAGTCATGTCAAGAACACATTCATACATAGTGAATATAAGGACCTAAGAACTCTTAAGACCAATTTTTCACAGATAAGTCCGAGCACGCACTCCTTTCCTCGCGTACACGAACTACAATCAACATAGAAGACTCAAATCCTAAGGGGAAGTATCCCACACAAGGTTAGGCAAGATACTTACCTCAAAGACAACACAGCGATACTCTAAAATGCACTTCTCGGGTGAAAGATCTCCGGGCGGCTCAAATCTAACCAAATTAACTTCAAAGTACAAATAAAACACATAAGAAACTATTCCGGATCATAAAGTCTCAATCTTTAACAAAATCCAAAAATCGGTCCAAAAGTTGAGCCCCGGGCCCGCACCTTGGAACCCAACAAATTTTACAAAAATCGAATGCCCATTCCGATACGAGTTCAACCATACAAAATTTATCAAATTCCGATACCATTTGGTCCCTCAAATCACGATTTTTCATTTTAGAAATTTTCTTCAAAAACCAACTCCTTCCCCAACCCAAAACACAATTTAAATGATAAAAATGAAGATAAAATCATGGAATATGTTAGATTCTAAGTGAAGAACACTTACCCAATCGATTTGCTTAGAAAACCCCAAAGAAGCTCCAAATTCGAAGTTTAAAACTCAAAATATGAACAAAATGGCTAATCCTCGATATAAAAGGATTCTACCAGGACTTCCGCATCTGCGGTCAAGAAACCGCATCTGCGGGGCTGCATTTGCAAGAGGGAGTCCGCATCTGCGAACTTTGGCTACTTGGCCTGGGACCGCATCTGCAAAAATTAACCGCACCAACGGCACCGCAGGAGCGAAAAGTGGAGCCGCAGAAGTAAGAAATTACCCAGGTCTGCATGACCGCAGAAGCAGCCGGGATCACGCAGAAGCGG